GACAAGGCCCCGGCAATTATAACGGATGGCGCAAAAAAATGGCGCCGCGGTACGGATGGCCGATTGGAGCCGACCGGCCGAGTCAGCTACCGTTTCTCTGCCCCTTTCGCCAGGAACTTTTAAGTGTGTACATCAGGGAACCCCGATGATTAATCGGCGGGTATCGTGGCAAATGTCTCGACCATGCCGGTTCCAAGTCCCCCGAATTTGTTCGAAGGCAACACTCGAGATGAAGCAACAATATATGTATATACAGATTTATATGTGTATGTGTTATTGATAATAAATAATGGTTCGAAAACGCCCACCCACACACATACACACACCCATCCACACACACACACACACACACACACACACACACACACACACACACACACACACACACATATACACGCACACGCACACGCAAAAGCACACGCACACGCACACGCACACATCAAGATAAAGCAGCAATATATGTATATACATGTATATATATTTATATACGTATGTGTGTTGTAATTAATAAATGCATAAATCAATGTTGTATTGCATCCGCTATATTTTTCACACTGTATTATCCTTATTAAAGATCATTTTAATGCATTAATATTATATTTAAGAGACAGCGCATTTTGTTAAATTTTTTCTTTTAACATGAATTTTTATACAAATATCTTTGCGTATATATATATATAAAACTGTTCGTTTATATCACTCGAATTTTAATTTTCTCAGCCTTTGTAAATGTACAATTTTAAATGTAAACATATTAAAATCTTAACTTGAAATAGACCATATACAATTCAATAATCGGGACAGCAGATGAGAGAGAGAAAGAGAGAGAGAGAGAGAGAGAGAGAGAGAGAGAGAGAGAGAGAGAAGAGATAGCTAATATTTATAGTGAATACAAAAAGTATTCAGAGAAAATATTTTTTAAAGAAATTTTATTTTTAAAAATTAAATATTATCCAGCGAGAAATGAATTCATCGACTGATGTCGAATCGATATCGATACGATATGATTTCAACACCAATTCGACGTCAATTTGAAGTTTAATTGATTATTTCTTGCTGAAGTAATTAACAATTTATTCATAAAGTATAAAATAGATTGTTTCTTAAAATTATATATATACCAAAAAGATATGTATTAATTATATCATCTGAAAATATATCATGAAAAATAAATGAAAATTAAAAGTTCCATTGTTTGGACGCTCAAAAAGTAGCTGGATTACTTGTACAGTCAAGTAATCCAGCTTATAATATCAGAAATACATGTGAAACTTATTTGTATATGTTAGAACAGAATGTATTCATTGTATAAAATTGCTAATTAATGTTTATTTTCTACAAATAAGATTTTTTTTAGAAAAAATTTCCTTTTACGAATACCTTTTGCTTTCAGTGTAATTAATAATATTAACAAACTGGCATAGGAATTATAGAATACGATATATTATATTAATGATATTTTTTAAATGTAATTGACTCTAGAGAAGCACCGACAGTAATTCCGATTTTTCTTTTAACAAGCAAGGACTCGTTCCGGCACAAGATAATAATCATTCCCGCCGGGCGGAATCGAGCTTTAAACGCGAGTATGATTAATTCTGATTCTTATAGAGATTCCGCGCTATTGTAGTCGGGAATACGCGGCCGCGATGTAATCGTAATGAAGAAACGTAGCTTCGTCCGTGCTCTTATCATTAAATCACGAACGCGAATCAATTATGCGTGGTAAAAATATCCGAAATTCAAGCCTGTAATCAGCGCGAGCAGTACGGGGGTCGATTGTAAAAACCTCTAATTACAAAATTGCCATTTAACCGTCCATGCCGATCGACACGATCTTCGGCTTCCGTGGAATTTCGAAGATGCTATAAATAATCGGGGATAACCTTGCAACAGAGGGTAGTAATTTAATCCTGACATTGTGCGTGATTAATTACTTACGTAGCAAAATGAAAAATATATAAACAAGAATATTAAACGCGGACTTTTAATAATCTTTTTATATATATATATATAT